ATCACCGCACAGTCGGCGACTGCCACGACCACGACGATGACGACGACCACAACAACAACCACAACCACAGCGACAATGACAACGACCATGATCATGACCGTGACGATAACGACACGGATGACGACGAGGTCCACGACAACCACCGCAATCACGACCTTGGCCAAGACCACAATCACGACCGCGACCACACCAACTACCACGACGTCGACGATGTCTTCTACGACGACTGGCCACAACGACAACGACCACGGCCATGAGCAAGACCACGACAACGATCACGACCGATACCAAAACCACGACGACCACAACCACCACGACCACGACCACGACGTTGGGGATGGCCACAACCACGACGACGACAACCACGACGACGTCAATAACCACCACGGCAGCACTGACGATAACGACAACGGCCATGACGACGACGAAAAAGGCAACAGCACACATCACGACCACGGCCGCGATCACGCCGACGACGAAGACGAAATCGATGATGGTAATGAAAACGAGCACGACGATGGCCACGACCGCAACCACGAGCAGCACCACGGCCACGACCACGACGACATCGCCCACGACGGTCGTAACGACGACGGCGACGGCGACCGCGACCACGACGACCACCGCGACCCCGACGACGACGACCAAGACCACGACAGCGATAACCATTGCCACGACGACGGCAAAGGCAACGACCACGATCACGGCTACGACAACGACCACGCTGAACATGAGATCGCGCACGACGGTTACGACAATGACAACAGCAACAACAACAACGTCGACGAGCACGACCACGACGATGACGAAGACGACCACAGTTACGACAACGACTACGACTACAACAACGATCACGGCCCCGACCACGGCCACGACGACGGCGACGACGCCGACGATCATCACGGCCACGGTGAGCACGACCACAACGACCACAACGACCACGACCACAACCATTGCGACCACGACCACGTCCACGGCCACGATGACGACCACGAGCACGCCGACGATTACGACGTCCCAAGCATCATGACGACGACCATCTCTCTTTCCACCCCCCTAGCCCTTTGAGCCCGCTTCACCATGAGCCCGACGAGCCCCATGAGCCTTATGAGCCCAATGAACCTTAAGGGCCCTAAGAGCCTTGGGCTGTCTGAGCTCGATTAATATGACGAGCCATACGCCCCCAATGAATCTTGTGAGTCCTATGAGGCACACAGGTCGCATGAGCCTTAAGTATGAGCCTCATGAGCCCCAGTACCCTCCTTATTAGCCTGATGAGCCCTATGAGGCCCTGGATCACATACGAGCCCAGCGAGACCTATTAGCCCAATTATCCCTATCGGCCTGCTCTCCCAATTCCCTTCCCGCAATAATCATATTCCTGTTCCGCCTCCTCGCTCCCCATCATGCCTCATGGCCATCATCATGATCACCATCATCATGCTCATCATCCTCATCATCACTTCCATCATGAACAGCATCATCATGGCAATCAGCATCGCCACCAACATCATTACCAACATCATCGTCATCTTCAGCATGATCCTCACTATCACCCCCTCATCTTCAGCATCATCCTTCTCATCCTCCTATTCTTCCCTCCCCATCCTCATCCCCCCCTCCTCCGTCCCCTCCCACTCCGATTCGGTGGCGACGAAGTCAGTGATGCTGACGTGCCTTTCATCCTCTTCGCTCTCCCTTTCAATATGTTGTTTGTTTGTGTTCATTTATCCTCATCCTCTGGCCTCCTCCTTATCCTCTTCCCTCCCTCTCCCTCCTCATTATTCTCTTCCCTCCTCATCCGTTTTCCTCCATTATCCCTCCTCATCCTCTTCTCTCCTCCTTATCAGATTCCCTCTTCCTGCGTTATGGTTCATTCGTTGTGTTTGTTTGCGTTTGTAGTTGTTTTGTTGTGTTGCTTGCGTTTTTTGTTTGCGTCGTTTTGTTTCGCCATGTTTTATAATATCATTATTGTTCAAATCAGTATAAGTATAAAATAATAACAGAATAGTTTCTTAACGTACCTATCAAACATAAATATTGGATAGTTCAGATAGTTTTAGGCGGGCCTCTAAGCCAGAATATTTCGGGCGTCCAGAGTCCCGAATCATCAGGGGTAACTCGGGTCAGGGCTAATTTGGGTTCGTTTTCCGGGCATCCGAACCCGAGTTACCCCAGAAAATTCGGGCGTCCATGGAACCCCGAATCATCAGGGGTAACTCGGGCGCCCAGAGCCCCGAATCATAAGGGGTAGCGCTAACTCGGGTTCGTTTTCCAGGAATCCGAACCCGAGTTACCCCGGACCCGAGTTACTTCGGATAACTCGGGCTCGGGTCAGGGCTAACTCGGGTTCGTTTTCCGGGAATCCGAACCCGAGTTACCCCGGACCCGAGTTACCCCGGATAACTCGGGCGCCCAAGATGTCCCGAGTCGACGCCGACCGATCCTGCCCGGCTTCCTGCAGCCAGTTTCCCGCGAAGGCCCGCGCTCCCCTCTCCCC